ATACGTCAAAATATATGCTACCTTAGTTAACTCCACTTTCATTGAATTTTATTCATCGTACCATAAGAGTTTATTTTGCTACGTATTTAATAGAGTTCAACATTTTTAAATCGGATTATTAAGGTTTTTTTCAAATTAAAACAGTTTAAGTGTAACGTGTGGCTTACGTTGATTTAGTATTTTAATCGCCTTAAGCCATAAAAAACTAGGTTTAATTTTTGAACAAATGGAATTAGAATAAAACAGTGGCTATGTAAAATTTCAAAGTTTTAAATGAGTAATGAATGAATAATATTAAATTAATCCCGGCACATTCGCCATTTTTTCAATTAAAAGTATTTTTTCTTGTAAATTCTTAACCGATCCGTTTTCAACGTTAAATAATGGTTTTCATCCGAAGTGTGATCGGAATACTCACTTAAAATTCTTTTCAAACATCTTTTGTATCGGCTAAATCGATGAGGGAAACAAAGAACCACCCGAAGCAACAAATCACGTCGCTCTTACGCTTGAAATAACACTAAAACATGTCGATCAGCATGTAAATTAGCCTTAATAATACAGTTCAGAGAACAGTCTAGTCTGATATATTATTTTTAATTTTTTGCAATAGCACATAAAGTTTATGACCAAGTGAACTAAACATTTGGAAAAATAACAACATGTAGATTAGACTGGGCCAAAAAAACAACTATTTTTTTTTTAAAAGTATGTCAATAATATGGTTTAAGGTGAAAAAAAAATTATTGTGAAAGTTTGAGTCCATAATATTAATATCGCAATTTTAAATTTGTTTTCCTCAGCAAATTTTTGTCTCAGAACTCCTAAACCATTGAGTTTAACAAAATTGAATGTCAGATCAACCGTTTCCTTAAAATCATGCATTAAAAATTGGTATAGTTTTATATTTTGATCTTTTAACTTTGGAATTTTGTAATTCATGTAAAAATCAGTACCCATAAAAAAACCGATAAATATTCTTATGGGAAATCAAATGCTTTACAAAAAAAAACCTCTTAACATTTTTGGCTAAATTCACTCAAAGTCAAAACGAAATTCTTGTTTTTTCCTCTGTAGATTTATTTTTTTATGGGTGATAATTTTTTTTTTTATAAATGTGTATTATATAACTAATTAACAATTTCCAATAAAAAAACAACATGATTGTTTTTATTTAAACGATTAAATAGGTAACAGTGAAAATAATATTTTCTAAAGAAAATTCTAAAGAAAAAATTCTAATGTGTTATTTTTTTTTTAATTTTCAGTAATTTTATCAATAACATAAAGATTATCATCGATAAAAGAATCCAAGTTTTTAACTGACCCAAAAAAAAAATCTAGAGCGGAAAAAACAAGAATTTTTAAATAAATAAAATATCGTATAATACTTATAGTAATAATAATTCCCGTAGAGAAAAATACCATTGGAAAATAACCCGTAGAGAAAGGTCAATTTTCTCAACAATAAAATGAAAACGTATAAGAAATGTACAAAGTCTTATATTTTTTACATAAAAATGTTTTAAACAAAAGGTTTTTTTACAGAAACGAAACATTTAATGGTAGGCAAGTAAATTAAGGCATTTACGAACACATCATAATATATTACATTTTAAAAATGCCTGCCATTTAATAAATTACAGTGCGTGGCAGATAACATCCTTTGAACCTAAATCATCGCAAAAAGCGGTCTAAAAAAAGTTCATCAAAAGTTAAATACACGATGTAGGCCAGGGGTAATTAATAAAGCTTCAAAACCGCAGAGCATTACCACGAAAATAGATGGTTTAATTATTTCGTTAAAATTAATGGCGCGCACGAGGAACAGTGCGGTTCTTGCCTGCTGACGTGCACAAGATGTCTGTCTGACGGTCAAACTATTAATTATCTCCCTATGGGCCAAAGCACAGCTCTCATAACCGAATCAGTATGTAATGGAGTGCATATAGATGCTCAACTCACATTGTTAAACTGCATTTGACGCTTACTAATGGATAATGGAACATATTTTAGTCAGAGTAATTCCAAATGAAAGAAAAAAGTTTGAGCCCAAAGTTGCTTAGTAAAGTATGTATGCGATTTTTAAATTTTATGCAAAACATTTTCTTATAATATTTAACAGCACAAATACTCAAGCCAGTTAAAAAACACAAGAAATAAGTATAAAATTACTAGACAAGATTACAGATAAAAACAACAACAAAAGATTTGAGTAAAAATTATTTTTTATTACGTGTGCATATTGAAAGAGTTTATTAGGAAATAATAAATAAATATTCTAAACGTGTCAATAAATATGCGTAATATAAAAATTAATTAATTTAAGCAGGTTAGGGCAAAAATATTTCAAATTAAAATTAAATGATTCGAAACGGGATTTCTGCCTGCTTCTCCATAAATCAAAACCATTTCTATTTTTTTTTCCACGGTTAAAAAATCTATTATGAATACCTCAACAAAACAGGACTTTTTGTATGCAGATTAATCTTCAAACTAAATAAAAATTATTTTATCTGCACGCGGTCTATAATTTAAACTTTATTGTTGTCAACATTCGATAAAGAAATACCTTGTTATGGCCTAGGCCGAAAAAAAATTTGATGAGGCAAGTAATTAGTTCGATTTTTTCTCGCTAGGGGTATTGTTTTGACAAATTTATCCTTTTCTAAGAAATTAACGTACTAAACTGGTTTAATTTATTTATAATAAGCACTAATTTCTTTGTTTTACTGTTAATGTTTAATATTTTTCATTAAATTATTGTAAAATTAAATATGAATAATAAAACAAAAAGTGAGGTTGGGCAACCAAGAAAACGCACGATTCTTTTTCTAAGATTTAAATTATCTTTAAGTTTTAATTTGCTTTAAGTTTTCAGTTAAATTAAATGTTAAACACAGCTTAAACTACCTATTTTTTAAATAAAAATGCAAACAAATTGAAATTAGATACCTACCTATTTATTAAACAATTAATTTAATTTAATTTAATAGCAAAACTCAATTTCTACTTAAATCACGTTGCTAGGTATTGTCAAACTATTACTGTTTCTAAAAGCAATATTGCTTTTAAATGTATAATAATTATTATTTAATAATTATTATACATTTAATGTAATCTTTAGCTAATAAATAAATGAGATTCTAAAAAAGTGAGGTTAGGCCGTTTTGATGTGCTTTGAAGATAAAATGTTGTATGCCAAGAAGTGCCTTTTTGTGCTTCGCTCAATTGTAGGCCTCCGATAGGCGTCGGCCTTCAAACCTTGAGCTTAGCACAAAAAGCCTTACTTCTTAACCTAATGACATAAATAACTATTAGTTGTTTCTAAATGTTATTTTGTTTTTTTGCATCTTAGGAAAAAAGTAGCCAATTGCTCCTTGGAGCCGGAATCTTTTTAGTCTTAACACAAGGTTAACAAAAAATAACAAAGAAAAAGAAGAATAAAAAAATACACGAGTTTTAAATGTAAAACTGAAAACGTATAAAAAATGTACCAAGTCTTCTATTTTTAATGAAAATTATAGCAGAATATTATAAAGAGATTAAATCGAACAAAATTAATAATAATAATAATAATATCGTTTATTTTTAAAAATTTGCACATAAAATTACAAGAGAACCTACAATTATATATACAAAAAAGAAAAATGTCAAAAAATCCATTCAATGTAAAAATAAATCCTGAAAGGAGTATGGCTCCAGATCACAAAAATATATTATAGTTAAACAATTTCTTCTTAAGTAAATTTAAGTTGTTAATTTCCTTTATATACCTACGTTGGTAAACTATTAAATATTTTTACACTTGCATAAAAACCTTTTCAAATATTGATAACCTATGATAAGGGTAATAATACTTATGTATTGTGCTTAAAGATTTAAGATCTTGAAATAAATTTTTGTTTTTATACATAAATAAGACAAATTCACAAGCATAAAGACCATAAATGGTTAAAATTTTGTTTATTTTAAAAATACCTCTACACGAGTCGATCTGTTCTAGTCTTTTTGTTCTAGTCTTTTTTGTGTATTACGAAAATATCTCCAACATTAGTACTTTGGCCCCAGAAAATGATACCATATCTCAGCAAGCATTGAATATTTGCAAAATACAATGTTTTTAAAGTTTGAAATTCCACATATGATCGAATTACCAAGGGAGTAATATGTTTTATAAAGTTTTTTGCAAAGTTGTTCAACAGGTACGTTCCAGTTTAAATTTTCATCAATGTGAACTCCAAAAACTTTGTACTTTTTGATACATTAATTGTTGTGTTAAGCACTGTAACTGTATTTATATTTTTAAATCTAGATTTTATATTTTTAAAACAAATACATTGGATTTTATCCTTGTTGAGTATGAGTCCATTTTTGGCAAACCAACTCTCAACAACCTCAGAGAAGAGTCTTATTTCGGATATTAGTACATCTGCATTTTTTGACCTTACAAGTAAATTTGTATCGTCATCAAAATTTATTATACTTTGACTCGGCTTTGTCACTGTACAATTAATTTTTTTATCACTGCGCCATCTTTTACAAATATGAAAAAAAATGTTAGACAAAATCTACCAATGCGTATATAATACAAGAATTATTGTACGCTTTAAAAAAAAAGCATAAAAATAACTTTTCAAATGCTTAAAGAAATTATAGCGCATAATAATTACATTTTCACTAAGTTTAAGCAAAATCTAAAATAGAATGGCAACAATTTATTTTTCTTTAATGATTTTTTTGGATGAAATCTTATTTAAAACTAAATTAAATAATCCAAAATTTCTATATATCTACCTTTAAAAGCATTTTTAAGATTCAAAATGCTGTGTTCTTTGTCTATATGGGAGCCTTTTTAATATTGTTTTTTATGAATATTGATGCCAAAGAGGATATACATTTGAGGATTTAAAATATAAGTCTAAAGTTATGTAGATTTTTCGTATTTATCATTTATACTAACCTATGTCAATATTTATTCTATTAAATAAAAAGCTTACCGTCATAAGGACAGCCCAGGAGCTCCATTCTCAGACACACCGTTCTTCTATGAATGCTGTAAGGCAGAATTCTGACTTTTGTAGCGAAAATTGTTGGCATTAATTTGTGGCTTTCCACCGAGGCGGTATCGCTGTTTCCGCGCAATATCTGAAAAAATAAATAAAAAACAACGTAAAATTAAATACAACATTTAAAATCTCCATGCAGAACGTTTTTTGGGTCGACCTATTTTTCTGGACGTTTAATTGCATTATACTTGAGTAAGGTTTTAATGAACAAGTTTTTCATTATTCTTTATTAAATCTGTGTTAAAATGTAAAATTTTATCTTAAACATTATTATTTGTAATATGTATAATATGGTTTTTACATAAAAGGATTTTTACATGAAATTTTATTAGATAATGATATAAAAAAAAATCAATTAAAATATACTCTTTATTTCAATTTTAAGAGGTTATTCATTGAGTTTAATTGATATAACACAAACAATATTTTTTAACTATTTTTTTCTGCAATAATTCCACTGGTCGACAGGGTGGCCAATAAATTTTCTAGGATATTATAATAATTAATTAATTAAATATTCATCATTAATATTTCTATTCGCAGAGTTTCTGTTAAGTGTCGCATTTTTTAACTAAAATAATAAGTCTTACAGCACTACTAACAAATTATTGCAATTTTATTAAGAGATTCATTTATTTTCACCCTGTATTCAAAATTATGTTTACTAAAACCCTACTTATGGGGTATCTTCGTAAAAAGTGGGATTGTTGGTGGTTTAATATCACATGGCTGAAGATGTGGTGGATGGCAGTTTGTGTTGCAGTGTGTGTAGAGCGGGTGTTTTTGTTTTTATTCAGATTAAATTATTTTTTATTTTTTCTATGATATTATATTAGCATGATATGTTCCTATTTGGAATTAAAAATGTATTAATAAAATAAAATTAATTTAGATTTAGAAAATGTATTAAGAATTAAAAAATATATATTAAATGGTATTATTAGAGGTGTCCCTCTATAAACTGTATGTTTCTTGGGATGAAAATAAAGTATTTTATTATTTTATTATTATTATTATTATTTATTATTTAAAACTGCAACATGTTGTCTGATCTTTTATACTTTTTGTCTAGATTAGAAAAATTTATTATTTTATTATTGTGGTGCACGGGGGTATACACGCTACACACTCAAATTAGTCAAAAATAACTAATTATAAGTCATATTTGACTAATTGTCAAACTCTACTGAATGAAATAGTCAAATTGATAGATTTAAATTGTACTCAGGTCTGTCACTTGTCAAGCTTGTCAAGATGTTGTCAATAAATATTGTTCATAATATTTTAAAGTTGAATATATTATTTGTGTTGCTGTTTTGAGCTAAACTTTTTGCATCTTTATTTGATTTTATTGGTCATTTAACCATGGAGCTTAGGCCGATTAAAGAAACTAGTTACTTTTTAGCTGGATTTATAGTTCTAAAATGTAGAAGTAGCAGTAGCAGTAAGCCAGTATTGCCAATATAATAATATAAATGCTGCAATGTGAATGGCTGGAGTAGCGTTTAGTAGCAACCGTTGGCGTAAGATGGCCATATCTTACGCTAACTTTTCTTGCTGCTACTCCTACTCCAGCCAATCACATTGCAGCCATTTATCCAGACATTTTATTTTATTATTATATTGGCAACACTACTGCTACTCCTACTTTTTAGAACTATAAATCCGGCTTTAACTCTCAGAAACAGTCAAAGATGGTGACTAATCTTAAATTAGTCAAACTTTAACTATTTACAAAGTAAAAAATAACTATTTAAAAGTGAAAACGACTATTTTATTAGTAAAAAATGCTGGTACTAATTTAGTAGAATTTTGACTATTTCATTTTTAGAGAGCAGCTAGAAATGGCAGTTTATATTAAGCAACAGGTCGAATTGAGTTTTAATTAAGGTGAGGTTTTTAAAATACTGGTTTTCTTTAGTTAAATATTTCTGTTTTTTAATGAATCCTGTTCATAACATTTTTCTCTAAATAATTAAAACTAAACTGAAAAAAGACAGATATTGAGCAGTCGTCCAACGCCAAAAATTTCATCAATATTTAACGATGGTAAGCAATATTCACGAACTTTTTAAATATCTTGGTACGAAACTATATAAGTGGCTAAGTATTTATAAACAAAGCTTGACCTAATAAAAACCGTACAAAGTGTAGATTTTTAAAATATATTCATAAATTTAAGTTTCTATTAATTAAAATAGGCTTTTAACTATTTTTTCTACTCCCACCTTTAAAACGCCCTTTATCGTACATATTTCCATGACACTAAGTGACCTTTTAAATACAAATTGACAAGTTGTGGCTTTACGGCGCTTTAGTCACGGGCTGAAGTTAGCAACAGGTTTTTAGTCACGGGCTGAAGTTAGTTTTAAGTTAGTTGACAGTTGTCAAATGTCATACAATCGTTAAAATAAAGTGCCTTTCTTGTAAAATAATACTAAATGTGAAAATTATTTTATTATCTCAATACAAAAATACAAAAATATTAAATAGTTTCTCAACGCCAATATTTGAAAAGTTTATATGAACATTGTACTGACCTTTTAATTTCGCCGGCAGTAAACTATAACTTAAATTCGGGCACGGACTCTACTGTAAAGTCCTCATAAAACATTTTCTTTACTTTCACTGTGAAAAACTGTCAATTTCCAAGATACATTTCGATTTATAACCTATATAATTGTGTTTATAAAATGTAAAAATGTGACATTTGACAGTTTCCCCTGTTGTTTCATAGATGGAGCTCTATACAAATTTTTGATTTAAATCATTTTAAGATAATAATAAGTATTTGTCGTAGAAAAAGTATAGTATGCACTTCGTGTATAAACTTTTCTATACACTCATTATCTTAAGCACTCGCTCGCAAGCTCGCTCGTGCCTAAATTTAATTCGTGTTGTGGCGTTTATCAAACTTGATACATAATATACTATTATTTATTTATTCAAATATTCATTTTTTATATATGGTCTAGTGGTTACTTGGGTTTTAATTTAACTAGGGTTTGTTAAAAACTATTTTCCTAAATAATTAATTGATCGGATATCGGAATACTTCTTAAAAAATTGAAAATTTGAAAAAATAAATAAAATAGTTAAAAGTCTATTTTAATTAATAGAAACATAAATTTATATATATATAGGTATATATATATATTAGGGTGGCCCAAAAAAAAGAATATTTTTTTCTTCTCGTCTCTTGTGAAAATATGTATGAAATATTATTTTTTTTGGGCCACCCTAATATATATATATATATATATATATTAAAAAACTAATAGTAGTTTATTTCATTCCCTGTAAAAATAGGTATTGGGCTTAGTTTTATATTTATTTATTAGTCAAATACAAAATGTTTTATAATGCGAAAATGAAAAATTCATTATTAAATTTGTCCAGTTTTTTGGACCAATCAATGTACATAAAAAGGCCTAGGTGCGTCATATTTCCCCATTAAACCATATAATATAATTTCAAACATTTGTTGGGTTTGAAGACAGACGGGACATTTCACGAAAATTACCGCTACAGCAGAAATAATAAAACATTTCCCCGCCACATTGCATCGCTTTTTATCAAACAAAAAGCCACACATAAAGGCAATTTTTCGACTACCTGCGAGCAAACAAAGGTTTTTCGCTTTTTTTTTTCAGTGGCTGAAACGTTACTACAAAGAGCGCACAACAGATTAAATTTTAAATTAGCTAAATTTACCTTCCGTTAGTTGATACTCTTTCCCTTTACATAAGTATAATGCAATTAACTGTCTGGGAAAAATGGGTCGACAAACAGAATACAGCAAAAATGTGCCAAAAGTTACATGTAACATTTAAGTCTTTTGGAATGCATTTAAAATAATATACCCGTTTTTATAACTTTCTCCATACAGGGTGTCCAAAAAGGATAAACCCATGTAAGGGACGTCATTTTAATCATAAATAACAAAAATTCAAGGGGTTTAAAAATAAAATTTTAATTTTATTATTTTAATATTAATTTTACGAATATTTAATTAATAAAAGAAATAAACAAAATTTAACAATTTGTTAATTATAACAAAGTCAAATATTTAAAGTTTGGGTTTTCTTTCGGAAAATACAACTATGTTATAGCTACTAGATGCCTTGTTTATTCTGTTGTCATTTAAATTTTAATTTAATCCGTAATTATCCGGATATGATAGCAGAAGCGACACATCATAATTTTCTCCGCTGCTGTCAACTTTGTGTGGATAATAATGGCGTGATATTTGAACATTTATTATGATTCTGTGGAACACTTAAAAAATAGCTACATGAGCATTAATCGACGTAAAAAGTGGAAGGTGAATTTAAAAACGAATATTTATTTGTTAGAATGGTAGAATGTTATTGCATTAAATAATAAGTTGATTTATTTAATAACGTTACTATTATATGTATACATTTAACGCAATAAATTCTTTGACATTTATTCAAAATATTTCCCTATTTTGGTTTAATAGTAATTAATTGAGCAAATAACAATTTGGATTGCTTCAATTTTAATGCATTCAATGACAGCGCCCGAGTCAAAATTAAGATCGTAATTTAAACCTTAAGTCTGACAATTTCCGTCTTAAACGGTTTTATATTCGCCTAAAGATAACCAACTTATGACCTAAAACATGGCAGATAAGTCCATTTTCCCGATTTTTCGGTTCTAATTACGTTTAAATTTAAACCAAAAATTTTATTAGAGGTTTAAATCGGTTCAAATGAAGATTAATTTGGTTGTTCCAGTGCTAAATTGGAGTAAACAGGCTGAACAGGTTTTAAATCAGTTTTGGTAGGTCAAAGTAGGTTTAAATTACGATTTAAATTTTGACTCGGGCGCTGTTCTTGGTACTATCCCGAGTCAAAATTAAGATCGTAATTTAAACCTTAAGTCTGACAATTTCCGTCTTAAACGGTTTTATATTCGCCTAAAGATAACCAACTTATGACCTAAAACATGGCAGATAAGTCCATTTTCCCGATTTTTCGGTTCTAATTACGTTTAAATTTAAACAAAAATTTTTATTAGAGGTTTAAATCGGTTTAAATCGGTTCAAATGAAGAT